GGGGGGGGGATTTTTTTGTCCCCGGCACTATAAAGATGTCAAGGCCGCCCAGGGAGACAGAAAGGGCCAGTGGCAGAGGCCGGGGCATCTTACTTTTGGCGTTGAGTGGGTCGCAGCCTCGCCGGCGTGCGATGGTCGAGCTGCACACTCTGGGTGTATGTGTGTGTGTGCCCGCACACACACACGCAGGCGCACGCGTTTGCGCCAGGAATAGCAATCAGAAACGTAGGAAGGCCCTGGAGCTTAGAAAATAAAAATAAAACGCCACCCTTGAAGGGGAGGGCGGGGAAAAAAAAGCTGCAGACTTAAGAAAGTCCTGTCAATAAAAGGGAATATGAAAGAAAGCCCCAGTAAGGGGGGGAGGGGGAAGGAGGTGGGAAATAAGGATTTGAAAAGTCGCACACACACATCGGGAAAAGAATAGAAGGAGGGAGGCTCCCCCTCGTTTATCAGCCTGTTTCGCCCTTTGTACCACTCTGGTCGTGAAAAATGATGCCCTGAAAGGGTGAGAGAGCCTAGGAGCGTAAAAGCAGACCGGGTCCTCCGAGAGGTCTAGATCCGGGAGGCAGAAAAGGTGCCCCCCCCACTATGAGCCTCGTGAGCAGAAAGGAATGCCCTGAAAGGGTGAGAGAGCCTAGGAGTGTGAAAGCAGACCGGGTCCTCCGAGAGGTCCAGATCGGGGAGGCAGAAAAGGTGCCCCCCCCCCGCTATGAGCCTCGTGAGCAGAAAGGAGGACAGGCGAGAGAGAGAGAGAGAGAGAGAGAGAGAGAGAGGCTCCTTGCACCTGGAGCATCTCTGGGGTCCCGGAGGCAGCAGCTGCAGCTGGAACAGTGACTGACAGCCAGGAGAGTGAGCGATGCTCTATGAGGATCTATGCGTGCGTGCATGATGCACATAGCATGGTGGCTAACTCACAGTCCACCGCATCGGATTTTTTCCCCTCTTGTGCCAGAAGGGCTGGGTTTTGAACCAAGGGGGGCCTGATGGAAGGTTTAAGGAGGAGAGGCTCTACCATCTCCCTGGCCCCACTGCGGTGGCGGTTGCTTTTAACCAAAGAAGAGAAAGACTGAGGATCCAAAAGCATGGGTGTGTGTGTGTGTGTGCTCAGCACTCCCCAGTGTCCAAAGACCAGAAGGAAAGAGACTAGATGTTCTCAAAAATACAGGAGTCAATTAAACACCCAAGATCTTTCAGAAGGCAAGGCGTTTTGTTATTTCTCTCTCTGCCCCAGTTTTTTGCCTCTCTCCCCCCCCCCATCAAATCTGAAGGGGAAGACTTTCCCCTTTTTACTCTAGCTAGGTGAGTCTGACTAGCAAGGGACGATGGGGGTTGTAGTACCAGCCATCTGGAGAGCACTGGCTGGGTCTTCTAGGGGAAAAAAGGTCTGGAAGGCTGAAGCAGAAGCGGTTTTGAGTTAGGTCATCCCAAACACAAAATGAAAAACTTGGACAGGGGGGTGGGGGATGGAAATGAATTCATGAATTTATCCTGGCTCCTCTTAAAGCCATCCGAGTCAGAAGCCATCATGACCTCCTGTGGCAGGGAGTTCCACAGATGAACACTGAGGAACTCCCTTTTGTCTGCTCTTAATCGCCTACCACCCAGCTTCATGGGGTGACCCCACTGGGTCCAAGTAGCAAAGGAAAAAGAGGAAGACTTTCCCCTTATCTATTTTCTCAACTCTACGTGCACGTTGTACTTTGCTACTCAAATTTCCCAAAGCGTGGATTTTACTCCCTCCATCATGGCAGCAGCCGATTTCCCCCCACATTTTATTTGGTTTTTTGTTTCATCTTACAGTTTTGGTTTTTCTCCTTGGGCCGCAGGATCTCTCCTCTGGTTAAAGCCAGCTTTTTTTTTTTACCCTGTGTCTGCATTCTTTCAGGGTCATATTACTCCAGCGCCCAGCCTATTAAATGCAATACCAAGGAAAGCTTTCTTCCTGTCTGCAGGGGATAGCGACAACTTAAAAAACAAAAACAAAATAAAATAAAATCCACAGATCTACACATCTGCCTCTTTTCAGTTTGTGACCACCATTCCTTATCATGTCTGGGTTTTTTTTTCTCTCTCTCTCTCTCTGTCTCCCAACTTGCATGGGTTTAATATTGTACTGATGCCCACCTCCTGCCAGAGCTCAAAAAGTGACTTTCAAAATCTGCAGTTAGTTCCTGCAATGGTCACATTTTTTTGAAACGTTCCCCACATGACTAGGTTTGTCTTTCTGCGGCTGGCAAGTCATTTCCTCACACTTCGGCTTCTGCCACCGGTTTCTGCGGAGTGTGGCACCCAAATTTAGCCTCTGGCTTTTCTCATAGAAGGTTGCCATGTGTCAGGGTGCCTCTACTCCCAACCAATGCAAAACATGTAGTTTGAGGGGGGCAGGGAAACAAAACAAAACAAAACAGAAAGTCCACTAAGTGACCGATCCCATCCTTCAATCTTCAAGTCTGCCATTCCTCGTCTTGGAATTTTACTTGAACTTCAGATCTTTTGGTCTTAACGTCCGACAGGCTGATTCAGAGTCTTCTCTTTTTGTTCCCCCCCCCCACAAGTTTTGGGTGACCTCAAAGCCTGCCTTTTTAATAACCAAGGGCCCTTATAAAGGCACCGCCCAATCTTGATTTTAGACCCTGGGCATGTACCCCACCGCTGTTTCATTTTTCAAGGAAGGAAGGAAGGAAGGAAGGAAGGAAGGAAGGAAGAAAGAAAGAAAGAAAGAAAGAAAGAAAGAAAGAAAGAAAGAAAGAAAGAAAGAAAGAAAGAAAGAAAGAAAGGAATCAATCACTAGTGACTCCTTGAAATAAGCTACCTCCCAGCTTTGCTCCCAATTGAATTCACTCTATGAAATTTTTTTAAAGGCCCATGGGCCTTTCAGCTGAGGAAGGGTGGCCCTGGACACTGATCAACTTCTTGTTGCTGGGAGGTGAGTCCTCTGCGGCCATTGGTCTGAACTTTAAAGGGACTGCCCGAAGTCCTGGACTTATTTGAGGGAGAATGGTTTCAGCACCATGGATAGCTCTGGCCAAGTTCGGACCTAAAGCCAAAGGAGACTTCCTGTCCCACGAGATCGGAGTCGCCAGCTTTTGCTGCTGGACAGTTGCTTTCCTCCACCCCTGGTTCCATAGCAAGAGACACATGGTGGTGGTGGTGGTGGGGCTGAGTGGCCTTCTTTGCTGAGCACTGCCCTCTATTAGAGGGGCGGTCCAATCTAAAGACAAAAGATCCAGACTCTTCTTTAACTTAAACATGCTAGCCCCTTTTGGCTTTTGAATCGAGGATGCTCTAGCCTAACGCAGAGAAAAATGAATGCAAGAACAGAGAGCATCCTTTAAGCTGTTGCTTTCCAGATCCTTTGCACTACACGACCTATCTTCCCCAACCACCGGCTGTGCAAAGCTGATTTGGATCCCAAGAACGCCTAAGTACCAGGTTCAAAGTGTGGTCAAAGCGTCTGCTTAGAGCTGGGGAGTCCCAGGTTCCGAGCTTCCCTCTGCCGAACAGGTGCACCGCTCAGCCCCCTCCTGCTTCACAAGACTGTTGTGAGAACGGATGAGTGGAAGAGGAAGGCCACGTATGTCACCTTGAGAACACGCAAGAAACCTCACAATGCTGGGGTCAGAGAACAGGTGGCTCTCCAGATGTCAATGGACTACAATCCCCATCATCTCTTACTAACGGCGACGACTGCTGATGACTACTGTAATCCTACCACACCTGGAAAGGCCATAAGTTGCACATCACTGTACCAAAACATAAACCTCTTAAAATGCGGTGCGCCCGTCAGTAAATTAAACAAAGGCTTCAAGGGCTGCATCCACCCTATTTCATATAAGAGGATGATGGAAACAATGGAATGGTCTTCAAATTTCCATGACCTTGTGAGGGGTGGCTGGGTTTGCCACGGCTGATGAGGTCAGAGACCCTTTGAAAGGAAAGACCCTTCTCGGATCAGGGCTGGCTCGATTAGACCTCAGAACAATATGACCATGAAGATGATGATTCCAAGTCACTGACCAAGAAATGTACTGCAAATCTAGGCTCGACTAAGGGAATCGTGTAAATTTAGCTGTGACCTGCTCCCCGTTAACAATGGTGTTTACCCCTAATTGATTCGGTATACAAGTTAAATAAATAGCAAGGTGCAGATTGCATTTGTGACCAGGTGGGGTTCCCGGAAATGAGTGTGCATTAAAAGAGTGGGACTGTTGCTACGAAGACGTCCAGAACTTCAACGTCATGCAGACATACATCCGTCAGAGCATTCTGATCAACATGTCACCAGCAAATGTTGTGACCTTAGAGGAAGCCATAGAGTGTGTTCCTCATTTGGTGAGGATCTATACATCTGTGTATGTTTCTTCCTATTAACAGCTGCTGAAGTTATGCTCAAATGTGGCTCCAGGAAGACCTTCCTATGCCAAGGAAAAGCATGTTGCATGCACTGTTGTTGCTTTCAACATGTCCCTTCCATGCTCCACTAAGAGTTTGCTGCTGCTGCTACAGCCACCCTCTTCCCTTGGCCTCTTCCACCAAGCTGGATTCCCCCCCCCTTTTTTTGCAGAAGGAGGACCTCTGGGTCGAAGAG